TTTGCTATAGAATAATATATAATTAAAGCTCATTACGTTGATCTAACTCTAAGTTTGGTAACTCAATCTCTTTCGCTGAAACAAATATCCAGTGAATTTAACTTCACCCCAAACAATATAGCTGGCGCTAGTTAGACTTCGCCGACAGGAGACTGCTGATAACCAATGACTTCTCAAACATTGAACACCTTATTACCATATTGGTGGCGAGCATGTGGCGATTGGTGCAAATATCGCTCTTAAAGGCCTCGTTATAAGGTGATGTGCATGGATTCTTGAACAATTCATAGTCGCGAGCACTTAAAGACCTCGACAGAAGCAATTGATGCGAATCTCACAATGTCCTCGTCACAAAGCGATGTATGCGAATTTCTCAAACAGCTCATGATTGCGAGCACTTCCAGTTATCGCCAGTGGCGATGGAAGCGTATATCTCAAAGTGCGCGCCTGAGGGCTTTGTATGAGAATTTCTGCGTGCGATATCTTCAAGACCTCGCTGAGCTCAGCCTGGGTGGCGGACATTTGGCCTAAATATAGCACTCTCGGCGATCTCTCAAAGAAGTTACAAAAGGCATCACAATTTCCTAAAAGGATTTCTTCAAGATATCTTTAGGACCTCTTTGTGCTGGCTGGGATCTAACAGACCAGCGGCTAATCGGCTGTGCTATTTTGACCAAATATTATTATCCGAGTCGGTGGAATACGCGGCGTTATAATGAATAGATGTGCACAGTGGATTATCACCACTCTGTTCGTTCCCAACTTAGCGTTGCCTATTCTTACATTTACGGTGCATATCTAGTGTGTGTATGATCTTTGACTGAAGTATGTCCGGAATAATAGCAGCTAAAATGAATCGCCGTGCCGTGGATTTGGCTCAGGCTGAGGGGTGGCACAGGTGGGCTTTTGAGATTTACCATTCAATTGGTATCGGATGGATTAATTCTCATATTCTCATCTTCTCATCAAATCGTGAAATCGAGTGGACATTTCCGCACAGAAAAGTGCAATTTTTTAATCATGTTGCTCAGGATAGTGATTGGCACAGGTGCCGTTCGATGAAATACTATATGTTTGTATTTTTCTTTGGGACATACCGGGTGGCTACGGAAGTATTGCCTACGGAATATCTCAGTTATTGTATGAAGTAGGTTTGTGAAATTTGGAGCGTTGATATAATGACATAATAGCTAGAATTTGAGCATATTGACATGTCGAAGTTAATTTCCGGTCTGACCGGAAGTAACATCAACTTTCCTATTTCAAATAAAAACCCAATTTTTTTTTCGCTTTATTCAGCATTCAATTCCCTTTCTAATGACATATCACAACTTGGTATCTAACCAGAAACTAGATCAGAAAAAAATTATTATTGAAATTCACCGAGTAGGCCGTGGAAGCAAAATGAAAGCCAAAAATTGAAAAGGAATGGTTATGCTGAATAGTACAGGCAAGAAAAAGTTGTATGTTCCTATTTAAGTTATGGACCTACAGAGTATTGTTTTTTTCCCAATTTTTCCAATATTTTTTTTGGCGGCTTTTTATAAGGCCGACGAATGAAAATAAAATATCACAGTAGTAGCAACTGATTATCGAGTGACGTATGGTTTCCATAGCCAACTTTTCAATTTTCGGCTTTCATTTTGCTTCCACGGCCTACTCGGTGAATTTCAATAATAATTTTTTTCTGATCTAGTTTCTGGTCAGATACCAACTTGTGATATGTCATTAGAAATGGAATTGAATGCTGAATGAAGCGAAAAAAAAAAAATCGAGTTTCCATTCAAAATGAGAAAGTTGATGTTACTTCTGGTCATACCGAAAGTTAACTTCGACATGTCAATATGCTCAAATTCTAGCTCTCATGTCATTATATCGACGCTCCGAATTTCACAAACCTACTTCATACAATAACTGAGATATTCCGTAGGCAATACTTCCGTAGCCACCCGGTATATCATTTCGTTATCAGATGACGGTAGAAATCTGCAGCAGGCTCTCCTACTATCAGAATGAAATCGACATTATGTAGGATACCCAGATAGTAGGATATTTAGTTAAACTTTTTTCCCGAATTTGCTAACATAGCGCAAATACGTGTCAAGGCGTGTATTATGAATCAAAGATCTCCAATCATATGTTATCAAACTCATCAAAGTATTTGCCAATGTGTCCTCGAGGTTGTCAGAAAAATCGGTAACAGAGTATTTCATGAGTATAGGTCATAGATTAAAGATTCCGTATAGGTATTCTATGAACGTATCTTCAATTTATTTAAAGTCGCATCTTGAATTGAAGAATTAAAAATGATATGGAATGTGAATTATCATTATACAGGGTGTCCTTCATTATCTGGAAATGATCTAAAATTGCCACTGCATGTTTTATGTTGTATGAGCAGCCATTTTCTTGATTGATTGTAATCAAGATATGAATCGTGCTCGAGAAGTGGTACTCAAAAATGGGTCTACGTAAGTTCTCTTTGTTGTAGATTTAGTGAAAAATTATCAGAAATGAATACACTGTAAAAGTGTACACACTTCTCGAAAGGTATATATGAATCTATATAATATACATCAGGGATTTGGATACTTCTTATAATACTATACTACTTCTAAAGTTATATTTTGCTCCCGTTCAAATTCAGAGTCTACTTCACCAATCAAAATACGAAACGTAAAGAGCAAAACGTAAAAAGTTCGAAAATTATGAAATCAAAAAAATGGATATGTACAAGGTTTTTTTTTTGAAATAAGTACATATAATCAGCAGATGTATATGATATATACAGTCTAACGAATATTGCCAGGGTATCAGATTTTTCCTAAAACAACTAGGTACTATTCTGGCTATAGGTCACGACGAACATTGATTTATATCTGTAAAAAAAGTAAAAAGTTTGGTTGTGAACGGCGCTTGATCATGTTTTCTCTAGATAAGCAGAATAGAGTACCAATAAATAATTTCCTCGTCGGAACCGGGAGTGTATAATTTGCTGACCAAAATTGAAGGGTGTCAGGAGGAAACAGGGAATGTCCTTTTTTGTACGAAACGAGTTATAGTGATGCCATCTATTAGCAAATTCAAAGTATCAACCTATGCTTAACCCAAATCACGAGAAAACGAGGAGCGTCATGTTCTCCAACATTGTTTTAAAATGCCATATACGGAGAGAAGAGGGAATGTCCAACCAAAAACGTAATAAACAGGGAATGTCCAATCAGAACTACTTATTTTGCACATGAATTCGGAACGTTTTGCGAGTGCAGAAGGTTGAAGTGAATGGAGAAAGTGAATCCGAGTGACAGACAAACTATTCTCAATTATTTCAATTCACTGGATTCACACAATACCCAAAAATTCCTATCTGTGCTCCCTGGTATCGATAGTTACCATACAAAGGCGGAGGCCAAGGGCACCAGAAATTTTAGCTACATGACAGTAGCTACAAATATCGGGTCAGAATCAAAACGAAAAACATTATGAAAGAAGTAGAAGTGTGCGCAAAGTTTTCAAAGGAAGTTCATGGGATTTTGGAAAGCAAAGTTGGGTACCTACAGAGGTCCTTGAAAAAGTTTGGTGGTGCTCCAAAAGATAAGCGCGGAGGAAGAAATTGAAATAATGCGCAGCGATACTTCAGAATGTATTGAATCGCACATTTCTTCGTTCAAAACAATGCAAAGTCATTACAGCTTAAAGGACAACAGAAACAGGTCATATTTGCCGGAAGCACTCAACATTAGAAAGATGTACAGAATGTTCAAAGATCTCCACCCAAATCAAAAAGTATATTATTAATTCTATAGGATGGTATTTAGGTAAGCGATGGACTATCAAATATATCTGACAATGATGTATATTACAAGCGTCAACTCCCCAACGTTCATGGCTAGATTTAATCGTGCAGGTTCCTCCAACAAACAGGATGACATTGGTTCAAGAATGAAGGGTACAAATCCGAGACGTGAAACAACACCTAAAAAAACTACCACCAAGTACATCGATCGAAAAATTCCTCAAAATACTAAGGTGAGAACCGAAAAAAAAAATTTCTTGAGATATGTTCCCTGTACCTATAGTACATATGACCGGACATTCCCTGTTTTCAACTGAAATAAGCAGACTATACCTCAATATAACTGCTATATTTGACAGAAGTTCCACTCCTATGTTCAAGTTGAATATTATTTTGATTGTTCAAAAAATATAAGGTGTTCTTGAAATGGAATGGCTTTCAAACATAAAAAACAATTCAGCTGTGATGTTTAAATCTTTAAAATCACATTATCTCCAACATTTGTCGCAAGGACATTCCCTATTTTCACCTGACACCCTTCAATTAGAGAATGCTGACCGAGCACTTCTGTTTCGAATTTTTTCTTCAAATTGCATATTTGAATATCTTATATAGATATATTGATGCCACCAGTGGAATTAATTCGATCCACCCTTTCAGTGGGGTATAGTTTATTCTTGCATCGAAATAATTCCACTAGTGGCATCTATATATCTATATAAGATATTCAAATATGTGATTTGATAGAGAAATACGGACCAGAAATGCTCGGTCAGCAAGGTTCGTCGAAATCGAAAAACAGCAAGAATAAATCACCCCTCAGAAGGGGTAGATCGGAATAACTCCACTGGTGGCATCTATAAATCTATATGAGATATCCAAATAAGTAATTTGATGGAGAAATACGAGCTAGAAATGCTCGGTCAGCAAGGATTTTTGAAAAACTGCAAGAATAAACTACCCCTCTGAAGGGGTGGATCGGAGTTATTTTACTGGTGGCATCTATATATTCATATAGAATATTCAAATATGCAATTTCAAGAGAAAATTCGAACCCGAAACGCTTGGTCAGTATACTTCAATAATTTTGGTCAGCAAATTATATATTTCCTCGTCCAAACCTGTCGTTCAATAAAAACGTACTTCTACAGTTGTGTTAGTTGATAAATAATTCAGAAACAAATTAAAACATAATTCGCCGCACCTGATTACACTCCTGGAATCCCCCGATCCCTTCGTGATCTTGCGGCGCTGATCCGCCGATCACCAACACCGGCCAACAGTTGGTTTGAGCGTTCGCCATGCCGCCGAAGGCGTGTATCAGTCCAGGGCCGGACACCACCAGAACGGCGCCGGGAGTGCCCGTCAGGTAGCCGATGGCCTGGGCGGCGTAGCAAGCGGCCTGCTCGTTGCGCATGCCTATGTAGTGGATGTCGGCCTGTTGGAGGGCCATGGAGAGTTCGATGACCGGATAGCCGATGATCCCGAAGACATATTCGATGCCCTGAATAGGAAATCAATGATCATATACAGGCAGGACTTACTAAAATAGACAAAAATAATGTATCTGTTAATCAAAATGTAGATAATCACCAGGTAAGAGTTCCTCCTATCATTTTGAGAGATAAAACTAAATGGACAAGTCTTTCCAAAGAGCTACCAACCCTGCAAATCAACTATTTTAAAGCAGTCAATACAACGGAAGGTATCAAGGTTTTCTGCGACAGCCCTGATTCATTCAGGGCACTCACTCGACTTTTAGATAATAAAAAGTATCCGTTTCATACCTATCAGTTGCCAGACGAGAAATCACTGAGAGTTGTACTCAGAAACGTCTCGGAACACATCGAGCCGGATGATATATCAGAGGAGTTGACTGAGAGGGGCTTTGAAGTCACATCAGTACATCGTATGAAGCGCCGCGATGGCACTGCAATGCCTATAGTCCTGGTTCTGTTGCCAAAAACTGAGAAAAATCGTGAAATTTATGATATAACAAGGTTGGTTGGCTTGACCATCAAGGTAGAACCCCAAAGACCCAAGGCACAGGTAGGGCCGTGTCATCGCTGCCAAAAATTCGGACACGCACAGTCGAGATGTTCTGCTGATCCGAGATGCGTTAAATGTAGCGGTAATCATTTGACAGCTAATTGTCAGAAGGATAGCTCGACTAAAGCCAAGTGTGCTAACTGTGGCGGCGCGCATCCTGCTAGCTTCAGGGGGTGCGAGGCATTTCCTGTAAGGAAAAGTAATGTGACTTCAAGGCCGGTCAAGTCAAGTTCTCAGAATTCACATCAGTCGGGAAGTCGGAGTTACGCTAATGCTTTGAAATCCACTAGCGAACCAGGGGACATCTTCACTGCCTTGGAGCAGATAAAGGAGATATTCCGTAAATTTACAGGTATTGCCGAGACGCTCGGTATCAACGCCAATACTGCTATAGGAAAATAAATATTATGATTCCAGAGGCATTGAAGATTGTAACCTGGAATGCTAATGGACTCTCAAGCAAAAAACTAGATTTCGAAAATTTTCTATTTCAAAATAATGTCGATATTGCTCTAGTGCAGGAAACTCACTTGAAGGGTGAAATTCTGAACCTACAAAGTTATAATTCAATCAGGAAAGATAGGACAGGGCGTCCCAAAGGTGGAGTTGCCATATACATAAAAAGATCATTGAAATTCACTCAGATCGATGTAGGGGTAACCATTCCATTAGAGGCTGTGGGTCTAGAATTACACTCTTCTAGGGGCATAGTTAGATGTATTTCAGTATATAAACCTCCAAACGGAGTTTTATCTGCTGAGAATCTGGATGCTTTGACATCTGGTGACGGAAGGATTATGGTAGTTGGTGGCGATTTGAATGCCAAACCTGGAGTCGTGTCACCAACGCAAGTGGTAGACTACTGAGACTGCACTCTGATAGAAATGAATACATGGTTCTCGGTCCTGATGAGCCTACTCACTACCAATTCGGGAACAATTCAGCAGATATCTTGGATATTTTTCTTGTGATGAATATTCCTTGGTATAGTGAGATATTCACTCTTAGTGCCATGTCTTCTGATCATAATCCGGTTTTTCTGGTGCTGGGAGATCACGTTCCAAGAGATGAAATCTTTCAACGCAGGAAGGTCTTCTGGATAGACTTCATGCGAGATTTGGAAGAAGTTGAAGTCCCCCTGAGGAACTCGACACTCCTCGAAAAATTGACAGTGCTGTGATTGACTTCGAACAGAAAGTTCTCACAGCTTTGAATAATAACACCCATATAACAAATATTACCAGTTTTCAAGCTAATGAATTCCCAATTTACTTGAAAAATCTCATAAGAGAAAGAAACAGATTGAAACGAAGAGCCATGAGAACCCTCTATCGTCCCCATAAATTGGAATATAACGAAGCTCGTAATATCGTGAGAACTGAGATTGATAATTTCCGAAACTCAAGATGGCAGACCACACTGGAAAATTTGGATGAAGGTCCTGATAATCTTTGGAAGTTGATCAAAAGAGTTAAGAATGAGAAAATCGTCATACCTCCTCTAAGAGGAGAGAACGGATTCAAGTACAGCACTGCCGAAAAAGCTGAAGTCTTTGCTGAGTCACTTGTATCACAATTCAAGTTGAATGAGTCGCGGGAGTATGATCAGGAATGGGATGGTTCTGTGGAGCGAGTAGTCCTGGCCCATTTGAATAATGATGTTCACGATTTAAGAATAAGGCCTGCCTCTACGGATGAAATAATCGGCTACATCAAAGCACAAAAACTCAGGAAAGCTCCAGGTAATGATGGAATTACAAACAGAATATTGAAAAGGATTCCTGGTAATTTCATCACTTACTTATGTAAAATCATCAACGCCATATTGAAATTATTATATTTCCCTCAAAGATGGAAGCATGCCGAAGAAGTGATGCTTAAGAAGCAAGGCCAGGATAATGCTCTTCCGCAGAGCTATCGTCCTATCAGTCTCCTGTGCTCTCCATCTAAAATAACTGAGCGAGTGATTAAACAGAGATTACAGGAATTTATCGACGACAACGAGCTTATACCAGATGAGCAGTTCGGTTTCAGAACTGGCCACTCAACTGAACTACAAGTCTTGAGACTCATTGAGAACACAATATCGTTGAGAAATGATAGACAAAAGACCCATCTTGCTCTCCTTGACATAGCGAAAGCATTTGACAAGGTGTGGCATGATGGTATCTTATACAAAATGATCGATATGGGCTTTCCTGACGATTTGATTCAGTTGATGTGTTCATTTCTGAAAAATCGAACTTTTCAAGTAAAACTTGATGGTCAACGATCTGGTATCAAGCCCATTGAAGCTGGTGTTCCTCAGGGTGCAGTTTTATCTCCGCTGTTGTACAGTTTATATACTAGCGATTTGCCAAGACCAGCGATGTGCAAGATGTCGCTTTTTGCTGATGATACGGCAGTTCTTGCATATTCGACAAATTTCGAGCAAGCAGCTATGAACCTCCAAAGCGCACTGAATTCTCTTCAGGAGTACTTCCTAAGATGGAAGATCAAATTGAATCCTACAAAAACACAATTGGTCGCACTTGGAAGGGAGCGGAGGCCTCCCAGAACCAGAATAGTCCTGGATGGTCATGAGTTAGAGTGGTCTTCACAAGTTAAATACTTAGGTGTGTGCATTGACAAAAAGCTCACCTGGGCCCAGCACATTGAACAGCAAGTTTCTAAAGCTAAACGAGCCATTGGAGCCCTGTATCCATTTCTAAACAGGCGAAGTAAATTGGGTTTGAGACAAAAATTGAATATTTATATCATGGCTATCAGGCCAATTTTACTGTATGCCTCAGTAGTCTGGGGCCACACAGCTAAATCTCATATCACCAGATTACAAACATTACAAAACAAAGTCGCGAGAATGGTGACAGGATCTCCTTGGTATGTTCGGAATAACCAGATCGCCAGGGATCTGAAACTCCCTTCAATCGTGTCAGTCATTAAAGAACGAAACATCAAGACTTTCGAAAAAGCTGAGGTTCATGAGAATCAGCTTCTTCGAAATGCAGTTGATTATGACCCAGGTGATCAATCAAAGTTCAAAAGACCGAGATTGTCCATAAACTAGAGAAAATATCGACATTATGACCAAATTTACTATTCTCAAGTTTTTGATATTTATTTTTTCCGTTCGATCTCTTTCAATTCTTAGAATGAATGAAACTTATTTGGGGCAGAAGGACTGTTCGCATCAAACTTCAATACCGTTTTTATTATGTTCCATAATAGATATCAGGATAAGAGGGACTCTTCCCTGGTCTGAATAAAATAAAAGAAAGATCCAATATATATACAGGCAGGACCGTCTTTCACCTATTTTTTTTATCGCTTGGAGCGCACGAAAGGAAATCCCTGGGCACATTAGAATAATGGGAACAGTTACAATTTATTCATTTTTGGAATTATTGAACAATTGTTTGATGAAAAATTGGAGGAGATAATACAGCGTGACTTTTTCAATATGGTATGAAAACAAGATCATGTGTTGCGATAATATTAATCATTGATTTTGAAAGTACAGGGATGCGGATTCCACTTCTTAAACACAATGTTGTCCAAATGTCGTCCATCTTTCTAGTAGCACTCCTCCAATGATTTTCTTGAATGTTGGAATACCCGCTGACACATATTCCTATTTCAATAGGAATGTTGTTGATTGCCTGTCGAATGTTGTCTTTTAACTTCTCCATAGAGCTGGAGGATCGGAGTAGACGATGCTCTATATCCCCACAAAAAAATCGAGGGCGTAAGATCTGTCGATTTTGTCGGGAAAGTAGTGTCCCCAATTTTCGAAAAACTCGCCGTGCCGTAACATAGGAATCGTAAGATTTAAAAAACGCCATGTTTTCTGACAGCGCTACTTCCCTCACAACTGTTAGGAGAAAGCAGTGGAGCCCCACCTTTCTGCACGAACAGCTCCCAGGGCACCCTTTCTTGCATTTACATGAGATTTTTCGCAGAAGAGTAAGAGGTGCGGGATCCATGGTGGTGGAGATGGAGGTGAATCCCTGAGAAAACATCTTCCACCCCCAATCTGTAGGACTCAAGTTTACTCCCCGCCACTTCTGCACTTGGAAGTAGCACCTTGTTGCATGGTGGCCTGCGGCATCTTCCGTCGGTGGCAATCGAGCGAGGTTTATGCTCGTTGAAGCGACAAACGTCTTATACCTTCGGAAATTCAAATAAGTATCCTTCGTGATATCACCCTCATATAGGACCACAAAACATTTAATGCCTGCTTCTCTCACGGCTTGTGGGGTGGAGTCTGGCCGAAGAAAGACTTCCACGTGCTCAGCAAGTGGTTCACTCTTGCTCAGGAGTGTGGTGAATTTGGTCTTTCCTTGGCCAAACGGCGCTGAGGTAGTATCGCACACGGTGAATACGTGGGTAAATAGTACCGTCCCTGGTGATCGCTGGGAGTCCTGGTGGTTGTAGTAGTTCGTATAGAGAAATGACA